AATAGTAGAACATGCAACCACTATTTTGTCGGCATGCCAAGACAGGGCAGGTGACGACTCATAGTTTAAATCATTTTGCTTCAATAGGCATGGTCCTCTTGGTTTAATTATGTGAGAGTTGCCCCTATATTGACACGGGGGGGAGGGGGTCACTTAATAACCTAAATGGATTCAGATACATTGCAAACGTATATTATAAACGCCAAATTTCCCTCCCAAACAGGCCGCCATCTTTAATGACTTCCCAATATTGACTCAGTGGTATCACTAATCACAAACATTTGTATGGACACGTATTCAGCTACTCCGACAAAACGCACATCTTGATACCAAACTCAATCATATTACGATATTTGGGTGACAATTGGAATTTTAGAAGCCAAAACCGGCGCCATTTTGGATATTCGCCAATTTGACCTATTTGGACACGAATTTCGGACTGGGACATGTTTTGGTGATAATATACATCTAGGCCGACCATACACCGTGGTCCGTATTTTTATTGCAGCAACTACCCGTACTAATAGTATCGGGCCTGGACTACTTACTGGTAACAAGCCACTTCCGAATAACAGTCTCTGAAGACGATCCGTTTGAAGGCCTATATAACTAAGCTTCGAATGTAAAATATGTGACAAGAAAAGTTGACTTTAATAATGTGAGAGAAAATAGAATAAATAATGTAGATATTTGACGAGTAAATGTTCTAATATTCGTGGAGAACACTACCCCACAGGGCATCGAGACCTATATGGGGGCAATAACCCTCAAGTAACTTATCCAACTGAGTATCCATACCTACTTAGAGGTCATATGTCTCAAGTTACTTACCGCCGTCTAGATCAACTACCTGTAAGCAATACTACTCAAGTAAGCTATCCCACTAAACTTATAATGTATATACCTAGCATTTGGCAATGCCCCTTGAGATTAAGACCACTGAAATAAAAAAGACAATTTTCACATCTATTTAATCATATACATTCTGATTATTTAAATTTCATAGACATTTCTAAACGCCCACATTTTCATGTGGACGTATTATGCCGTCGCCCCTGTCCATCTGTCCACAATTTGCTTGTGGACACTCATCAGGTCACAATTTTTATCCGATTTCAACCAAACTTGAAATATAGGTTTATCTCCCCAAGGTCTCGGTTCCTGTCGATATTGGCATGTATCGGACCATAACTTCATGGATTATGGCCCCTGATTGTACGAAAAATGGCGTTATTAGCTTGTGGACACTCTAGAGGTCACAATTTTCCTCCGATTTTGATGAAACTTGAAATGCATGTTTAAAACTCAAAGATCTTGGTTCCTTTCGATATTCGCGCATATCGGATCGTAACTTCCTGAATTATGGCCCTTGATTTTGGTTTGTGGTCCCTCCATAGGTCACAATTTTTATCCGATTTAAAGAAACCGTTTTATTATATCACCGTTACACCGTAATGAAGGTTGAGTTCGAATTTTGTTAAAATCGGGCCAAAATGGCCGCCTCTCGTACGCAAAAAGTGCATAGCATCTGGTATATCAAGCTTGTGGACCATCTAGAGGTCACAATTTTGACCTGATTTTGATGACAGTTGAAATACGTGTTTATAACCCGAAGATCTTGGTTCCTGTCGATATTCGCGCGTATCGGATCGTAACTTTCTGAATTATGGCCCTTGAATGTACCAAAGAAATCACAATTTTAGCTTGCCGTCCATGTAGAGGTCACAATTTTTATCCGATTTAAAATCGCGTATATCCGAACGTAACTTCCTGGATTAATGCTCCTGATTGTTCGAAAAATCGCATTTTTAGCTTGCGGATTCTCTAGAGGTCACAATTTTTTTCCAATTTTAAAAACCGTTTAAATTTTTCACCATTGCACCATAATGAAGGTTTAATTCGAATTTCGGGAAAATCGAAATGAAACTGACTGACAAAATGGCCACTCTTTGTACGCAAATTGTGTAAAAGTATACAATACGAAGGTTGTGGACCCTCTAGAGGTCACAATTTTTATCATATTCTAATGAAACTTAAAACATATCTTTATATCACAAAGATCTAAGTTCCTTTTGTAGTCGTGGCCGACAACTTGTTAGCTTGATTAACAACCGTACCTTGTCAGATTCGTAGTAAAAGTGAGTTATTCATGTAGTCACGTGATATCGTCAGCGAGCAATCACGTGACATTCACTACACTCCTCCCGATCCAAAAGACTTTGACGTCAGCTTAAAGGAAATATGCTAGATACTGTTTAAAAACTAGATGAATAAACTAAAAATTAAATAAAAAGGGTTAAAATGGAAGGACTTCTATACATTCTAATGCCCCACACAATACCATTGAACAAGACATTTTGGGCGGAATCCCCCCTCCTGCCCGAAAAGAATCCACAGCGCCGGCGAGAAGATGTGTGAGACAATTGGCACAAATGATGGAATATCTACAGCTATTTACAGTTTCACGGAGGTACAGAGAGCTACAAATACTTGTGTGAACCCTCGAACACCCGTAATTGTATCCGATACAGCTATTTCTTCTTTTTATGGTTGTCAACCGACATTTCTGACTAAATAAAACTTGTTCACTACAGCTAGTCTTCACTATCCTAAAATAATCTCAGGTAAAATCTCCTGTCTCAGAAGCAATCTAAAAAGGAATAAAATAATGGTTAAAATATAATGAAGACTGAAACCATACCACCAACAATTATTTAGGAATAAAATCTGTGCAGTTTATAAAAAAAAGTATGTATGTGCATAGATTATAATAAAATATAATCATTATATTTTTGTGGAGCAAATCCATCATCATCATCCTGGTCAACCAGCGGCAGCGATATCCCCTCTCTGATGCCAGCTGGTGTGGGAGACCTCGAACCAGCATCAGTATTGTCCGGGGACAGGTTGCTCAAAGCTCCGAATCCCATGCGAACGTGTTCAAACAAACCAAAGCGGGTTATGAATGCTGTCTTTTTCCTGGAGGATTCATCCAATTCAATCTGATAATATCCCTGAAGCGAATCAAGACAATCCTTAATGATGGGTAACGGAGAATTATTAAGAGCTCTGTAGTCAATACAGTAGCGGCAGCTCCCATCTTTCTTCCTCACCAAAACTGGTGTGGGACTGCTCCAATCCGATTTTGATGGCACAATCACACCAGCTTTAAGCAATTTCTCTACCTCCTGAAAACCCAGGGGTGTTCGTCTCATGCTCTGTTTGGCGGGAGGTTCCTGCTGGGTATCTATATGGTGCTGAACGGTTGAGAGACAATCAAGATCAAAATCAGCGGCAGCAAACACATCAGAATATTCGAACAGCAGGCGGGCTAAATCATTATGATAATTTCCAGGCAAGTGGACTACTGACCGTCTGTACAAGCCCTGAAGGTGATCGGGAAATCTTGGTGGTAACATAGGCTCTGAGAAGATACTGCGGGACCGTATCTGAAATTCCTCGTTAACCTGGCTTATTACTTCTGCAATGGCATTGCCTAAATGAACACCATGTTTAATCAGGACACCAACATTCGAGTCATAAAGAATATTAAAATGTCCAGTGGGACCAGATACCAAAGAGGCAGACATCAAGAAGATTAAATGTTGAGCAATAGGCTTGACCACATGCAAAGCCCCTAAACCAGCACAATCAAGGGTTACCTCGATTATAGTTGATGAATTTGGTGGAATGGAGTAGTTTTTCTTAACATATACCCTACAGACTTTACTAGTATTTCCAGGTGAGTATTTTAGGGTAGCAGATATGACATCATTCCCTATAGACACAGTACAATTGCGCAAGTTAACAACACATCCATACTGCTCTAAGAAATCAATCATAACGATGTCATATACACTCAAATTGGTCGTAGAATGCTTCCCAAGAAGTCTTATCGTCACCCGAGAACATAAGCATTTTAGGAGGATTAGGGCTTCTCCCTCGGTGGCGGCGGTGCTGTTCGTCTTGTTCTATTTCAGAATCAGAATCCGAAGATGACCAGTCGCGAAAAGATCGGTTCTTAGAAAATGGGTCGGATTCCTCACTGGAGCTAGTGGAATGATGTCTGTGTCTGGACCTCCTAGACTCATGGCCTTTGGAAGCTGTTGAGCCTCGTCGAGGTGAGTGACCCCCCCGAGGAATGTCCACTAGGCGGACCTTGATTTAATTTTAAGCTATCCTCTAGTAGAGGCTCCTTTTTTAACATGGACTGATCTCTAAGCCTACCTTGAGAGTTTTTTGATTTGGAGCCGACATCCGTGCTCTTACTGGAACCATATCTACCATCTGACGGGATTGTGTTCAACATATTTTCAATAACAGGATGTGTTATGACGGGATTGGATGCAGACGACAAGGGAGCTGCAGGAGCTTGAACCCTTACATCGCCAACAGCTCCCAAATCCTGCAAGGACGAATGCGATGGTGGATGACACGCAGATCAGTGGCCATCTGTCTTACTACGTCCTGAAATTTAATAAAACTATTTTCAATTTTCCTGTCTATCATTTTTTTCAATTCTTTTGTCCTCCCCCTCCTCCTCAAGAGGATAGAGTATGGTCTTGTCATATGATGGAGGTTCAAAAGTTATGATACCTGTATCCAACCAATCCTGCCAGTAATGGCGTCCCTTTAAATGATGTACGCGCGGGAAATTGAACCAACAAAAAGTTAGCTATTCCGTGACGTGCAGGTGGGTTATATATATATATAGAGAGAGAGAGAATATTGATATGACGAAATCGCCGTAACTATCTTTCAAAACAAGCAAACATAAATTAACTTCTATAGTTAACTTCTATTGAGATTGAAGGAACAATATCTTATTGACAAATTTAAACCCAAATTAAACATTTCAAAATAATTACAATATTATGCTATATATTATATATTATCTACTTCATTATTATTATATTATTGTATATATATATGAATATATGATACAAAAGGCGCGTAAGTATTGGCTCTTTGTAAAGTAAATATAGACTAACTTCCGTTAACTCAGTGAAAGACCACACTTGATCAATTTAACCGATAGTTATGCGAAGGCTGTATCGATATATTGGACTGGGTATGTTTAATTAATCACATTTTAAAGATGTTACACATTAGTTACCAGAAAACGTTTGCAAGGTGAAACTAAAACTAAAGGCTTCCAATCGTAGCTAAATACAAAATATCCCAATGTAGCTATGTATTATGCAATTATAAAATAAGAGTAATGATAGGATTTATTGATCTGTGTCGAAGACTTCTAACCCAAAAGAAAATTTTTAAGTTGACAGGAATTGAATTGAATTGAATTGATTTGAATTGTAATGGAAATTACAGAGAGAACAAATTCGATGACTAGACTTCAGTTTATTATGATGAATGGTCTTTATATACAAATACTGTAATACCGTCGCTGTCCTCTATGTTTATTTCAAGCTGACAATACAGTCCATAGTAACCGACTGTTCAGTCGTTGTCTATCTGGGTTGAAATGTATGGAGCACGGTAAGGAAACAAATTAATAAAAAAGAAATATGTTGCGCTCTAGTTATTAATTGGCGTACCAGTTTCTGGCGCGCTAGTATTTTGTACCAGATAATAAATAGCTATAAGGCCAAAAATCCGACGCTAAACTATTTTCTCTCATTTCCCCGGCTAAAAAAAAAAATCGGTCTTGGTGTGGTTTTCTGCAGACACAGGAATTTTCGGTATTGTAACTGTCCAAACCAGTTTCATTTGAAATTATATCTGGAATGTGTTTAACCAGTTCTATCAATGTACTATTGGTCCGTAAATGACTTTACGTTAAACTAAACACCATAACTTTCTGAATATTTTATTTTTGTATGGTTTGCTTGAAAATTTGAGCTAAATACAAAGACAGAAAGAATAGGAAACCCCACAAAATGTTATGCAATGGGCTCCATCAATGTTAAATTCAACACTGGTTAGGTTGATTGATTTTGATGAAACTTTAAAGAACCCCTATTTAATTCACTGTTTGCTTGGGGCAGGTATTAATTTACAAATATTTATAATAATAGTGTCTATTCAACGCCTAAGTTTGAACATTAACATATTCAATTATCCTCCCGTGGGGCGATCATTAACTTTACATTACCGCAGTGGGATTTTTCCTGCCAACCCTGTGAAAGTGATACACGACTGAGATCTCGATTAAATTCTATTTGTAGTCTGCCCCGACCCTATGGACTTGCTTCCTCTGTTGTCTCAATCTATATCAATTTCTGTACCCTCCCCTCCCCATTACATAGCAAATTTTGTTGACGACCCCCGTGTAGTGGGAACCTAGCATTAAGACGGTTGTATTAACACATTTTATCACCCAATAATACATTCTACAGTAGATATCGCTTGTGTGATATATTTCACAATCTACTGCGACATCTCCTTAGGAGATATCGCTTTACATGAATTTGATTGGTCAGTTGAAAAGGAACTACTTTTTTTTATTTTCAAAGAACAGTTCATTTCTTATTAAAAGTAACTTTTTTTTTTATTAAAAATGAACTTTTGTTATTTGATTGACCTTGATGGAAACACTGGGTCAATATAAAGGACTTTGCAATGGTTGAATTGCTGTCAAAAAATGGTGTATCACTACGCCGTAATGTTCAGTAAAAGTGAAATCTACAGCAAAGAATTATATTTATCTATGTGTGCATGTAAGAAGGGATTGGGTGATAAATAAAATCTCCTACTCGTCTTTTTTGATATCAAAAAATATCAACACACGTTGATAAAGTAAAAAAAAAAAACTCGACAGAGCCTCGTTTTTTTGTTACTTTATCAACTTGTGTTGATATTTTTTGATATCAAAAAAGACTGGTAGGAGATTCTCTATATATTTCTATCGTAAAAATAATAAAATGATCAAACAAGCATGTAATGCCATTTCACGCTGTCACATGTGTAAAAATAAAATAGATATTTGTGTAACTTCCTTGTTGAATAAGTATGTCAATAGCAATATATAATTGCATGTGTGAAATTGCATGCGTATGTATAACATCAACGATAAATAAATTCATTATTTATACATTTGGATCATGACGTGACTTTTAATTTTTTTAATAACCAGAAGCCTTTTATGAATGGTGTTTCACCGGTGCCCTGTTACTAGGATAATTCTAGAAATATCAGATAAATTTATATATAAAATGGTCGCGTAATGAATTGGGCGGGGGGGGGGGGGGCAGATCCTACACAAACACGTTATCCTGCCTTCCCTTATTAATTTTTTTAATAACCAGAAGACTTTTATGAATGGTGTTTCACCGGTGCCCTGTTACTAGGATAATTCTAGAAATATCAGATAAATTTATATATAAAATGGTCGCGTAATGAATTGGACGGGGATGGGGGGGGGGCAGATCCTACACAAACACGTTATCCTGCCTTCCCAGCCCATGAATACAGCAACTTTAAAGTGGTCTAACTTTAGTGGCTGACTCGAATTCAAATCAACCAATCAATCCTTTAAAGTCCACCTATATGGTACCGTTGGGAGAAAAGTTTGAAAATATGTATAGTTTAATGGTAGATTAAACAAATTAAAATACAGACACTGTTCCGCACGTGCTTTTAAATGAAATACGTCACGGGAGTCCAATATTTCATCTAGTATAGATTATGTACGATTGGCAAGTTGCCCGATGATCTCACATCTGTATTTTAAAACCGTCGCAAACGCGCTTTCCTGCTATTCCAGCAACTACAGTGTGTTCCAAAATAGCCTACCTTAGGTGACTTACATGAATCCCAAATCCCAAACAATCAATCAATCGTCACAGGGTATGGGGCCTCGCAAACCCCGAGAAAATTTTGAAAATTTAATTGTCGCAAATGCGTGTTTCTGCTATTCAATCCAATCAGACTGAAGCTGCATTCACAAATAATAATCTATGCCCGGAAAATGTCACACAAAGTAGAGTGGCTCCAATCAAAATGCTTTAATCCATAGTGAATTCATTACAAATGCGTGGTATTCAGTTAAAAGAAAAGTAAAATCAGTTTTTTATCTGATTTTAGGCACTTTAATTTGCCAACTAGATGAAATAATTTTTGTCTTCACTTTACCCGTCTGCCCGAAAAGTCAGATTGCCCGAAAGTTAAGGGGCAGCTGCCCCCCCCCCCCGCCCGCCACATCCCCTATGAAAAGACATCCCGTTGACCCCTACTTAATACACGGTCTCTTCACGGTGTTCTTATGGAATGACTCTTAAATGTTAACTACCCAGTTTATATCCACATTGTAACATAGATTAAACCAATGACGTCTATACTAACTAGACCGCGCGCTCCCACTGAATGTTGACTTCCGGCAGTGGGTGAAAGTAAGTAGGTCAACTGGTTTCTAATGTCAACACATGGGAACGCTCTCGATAATAAGACCTAATTAGACTTGGTTTAAATTCGCAATAGGAAATTTTAATCAAGAATGAATATGTACGGTTCTTGAATCTTTATTTAACAAATGATACAATTGTAGATGCTAAATATGGATTAATAATAAAGTAATGAAAGACCGAAATGGGCAACCTTTCACGTCTGAATACTGAAGTAAAATCTTGAAATGTAAAAAAAATGTCATTATTAATAATAATTTTCTAATAATAATAATTTTATTTATTCAGTATGCATATCATACGATGTATAAATACAGATAACACTTGATCATATATGCAGAATGATTGTTCAAGCAATTATAAAGAATTTAATGAATAATGAAAAGATGGGTAATTTTAACATAAGCCTAATAATAAATTAATTTTTGGATATAAATATGAAAGTGATTTTTCAAGCAATTAAAAATAATTTAGTTTATGATTTCGGGACTTATAATTTTAACATAATAAATTATTTAATTTTTGGATAAAAATATATAACTATGAGTGATTTTTCAAGCAATTAAAAAGAAGTTAGTGTATAATATATGGACGGATAGTTTTAACATAATAAACATTTGGATATAAAAATAAGAGTGATTGTTCACCTAATTAAATAGAATTTAGTGTTTAAGGACGAATAATTTTAACATAATAAATTATCTAATTTACGGATAAGGGATTATAGAGAAATTAGTTCATAATAAATAGAAGGATAATGTTAACATAATAAATTATTTAATTTACGGATAAGGGATTATAGAGAAATTAGTTCATAATAAATGGAAGGATAATGTTAACATAATAAATTATTTAATTTACGGATAAGGGATTATATAGAAATTAGTTCATAATAAATGGAAGGATAATGTTAACATAATAAATTATTTAATTTACGGATAAGGGATTATAGAGAAATTAGTTCATAATAAATGGAAGGATAATGTTAACATAATAAATTATCTAATTTTTGGATAACATAATAAATTATCTAATTTTTGGATAACATAAATATGAGTTATTTTTCAAGTAATTATAATGAATTTAGTGCATTATATATGGACGGATAATTTTGGTATCACCCGAAATGTTATGAAGCGGGGAATTTTATACATCTATATTATACAAAATACATAAAAATGTAGAACGATGAAATGAAATAAAATGAAATGGGGTTTAACGTGCTACTGTTCTGCTCCTAAACTGGCCTAATGAAGACGGGCATACACCATGCTATGAAGGTAATTTTGCCCTAACAGCGTTGCTACGGCCTACTCTTACATCGAATTCCAACTGCCAAGGGATCTTTTACGTGCACGTCAATGTGTTCACGGGACCTCGGTTTTTCGTCCCATCCGAACGACTAGACAGCTGTCCTTGTCAGGCCCTCCGTCCTGCAGAACTGACAAGGGAAACCACGTCGGAAAATCTAGATGAACTTTCTCGGCCAATGCAGGGATCGAACACCCGACCTCCAGGCTAGCGAGCCAGCGTCTTACCCACCGTTACAGTTTAATAATTGTCTGATATACATAGCTTTATTTATATAACAGTACCTTGATATATTTTGTCTTTATTTTTGTCTTATTTTCATTTCTAGTACTATTATTACCACATCCTCACTAATGAGAGACAGAGAGATTGGGGGGGGGGGGTAACGTCCACTCGACACAAACTAGGTCATTTTTGGACTTACACATGGTTCAATTTCTTTTCAATAATTCACTTGCGCATGGTGTCTTTAGCAGTGGGAGGAAACCAGAGGATCCGGAGAAAACCCACAAGGTTGGATCCTCACTAATGACAATGATAAAAGCAAATGAAATGAAAAGGGGTTTTTAACGTCCTACGTCCTACTCTTCTGCTCGATGGGCTTATGAAGACGGGTATACGCCTTACAGTGTGCTATGAGGGAAATTTTGCCCTGACAGCGGCTACGGCCTATACCCTTATATGGATCTTTTACGTGCACACCAATGTGTACACGGGACCTCGGTTTTTCATCCCATCCAAATGACTAGATAGCTGTCCTTGGCCGGCCCTCCGTCCTGCAATCCTGACTAAAAGCAATTTAGGCAAAATAATCATAAGTTATAATCGTCCACAGAGGCTTACCTGTACGTTCAGACACTCGGATATCGAATTCCATCAGTCAGCGGTTCTATTATCTGCACACCAATGTGTACATGAGACCTCTATTTTTTGTCCCATCCGATCGATTAGACAGGCTATCTACCCAACACCACTGATAAGGGGGAACCATACATAGGGTGGCCCATGCACCTACAGAAATACTGTCAACCGCTGATAGTTCGAGACTACCACTGAAGCGTGCACATTCGCCGTGTCGAGGCCAACTTTCTGACAGTATGATACTATAAATAGCCATGGCACGTGCAATTCTCTACAAATCTATCAACTATTACAGCCGTAAAAAAAATTATTGTTGACGATTTTGAATAGCAGTAAAATTAAGCTTCTTGGTTATTACAGCAGATTTAGAAATTACGTTCGTTTCATTTTTTAAATCGCTTTATCATTAACTGTACCGTTCAGAGCAGCATCTTTTGGTTTAGTACAAATAATATCTCTGAAGCACTCGGGTTAGACAGGAACATGATACTAGCAGTAGTTTCATTTTACTTTTACAAGCTTCTTAAAACAATTGTTGAGCTAGCTAACGTGCTCATTTCTAAATTCAATTTCTTGGTCTAGCTTTCTGTTATGTTTCGTAAAAAAGTAGTCTTGATTATCCCGACCTGTCAATCAGCCCTTGAATGGTCGATAGACTGGTTAAGCGAGACTAATTTCAAAACAAGGGCACGTAACCTATTTTTTACTCAAGAGTGTCTGGATGTTATGGACGACACATGGAACCAGTTTTCAGTCTATTATTTAATGATTATATGTTGATGCTAATCAACATATACGATCAACAGATATCAAAAAATTGTTTCTAACATTTAATGAAGTATTAGGATGGGTAAATTCTGTCCAATGTTTAATAAATATTGAGAGGTTTTGGGGGTTTTTTTTAGAAATATTTTAAGTGAATCAATTTGGTTTAAAAGCAAAAGAATGAAAAATGTGTATATAATCCTTATATCACAACTTTTTTTCTTTCGAAATACTTTTAATGCTAATGCAACTATTGGGTTTAAGCCCTTTATATAAAAAAAAAATACTGATTTTAAAAATGCAGTCTTTGTGTGTTTAAAAACTTCATATATTTAAGATGGTTGTCTCAAAATTTCCAGTAGCTTTCTCAAGTATAACTTTTTTTTTTTAAAAATGGGCGTGGCACTTTCATAATTATATTTTAAAAATAAAAATATGAACACTAAAATTTCCAATTAAGCCATTTTTATGAACCGTAGAATGCACTATTTTAGAGCGTAAGCTTTAAAGCATTGGAATTCTTATTTTGTTGTTGTAAATAACTGGTTTATTTTTTTTAGGCTACAGGCTACTGAAATTACTTACTATGATTACTATTAGTATTACACAGAGCTGAATCGAGTCTATATTTTACTATGAAAAATATGTCTAACTCTTTATTATTCTAGTAAAACTATAGAAATATAAAGCCGCGGTATGAATCAAATAAATTGATAAACTGGGCTTGTTGACAAGGCCCTGAAGTTCACCATTCGCACGCCTTTTGTTTACATTGGTTTTCGCTGATTCTGTTCTACGCTTTGACGTTACAACCACCACCGGATGTCAGACGCCGTTCTCCACCAATTTAGCGTCTGCGCGCGGTCTAGTTAGTATAGATGTCATTGGATTAAACAGACCGAAATTGCAAATGTGCCTCTAGTCCAGATGTTTGCGATATTGTGCCTCAGGTTTAGAATTTGTGCTTTTAGTCTGGACTAATGTCGTGCCAGTTTCCTGGAATATTCTATCTTTGATATTTGTTTTTTTTTTTTTTTGTTTTTTTTTTGTTTACTGAATCAAAAGAAGATAAAGACAACTCTAGTGAAGTCGAGGGGGATGACTTCTGCGACTGCAGGTGTGAGTAGTCATATTTTAATACACGAGATAATTGGAAATTTCATCGCCTATAGGGCGATTCACGATCCTGTCTGGATTCCTTGACGTATGTACACTGCTTCCAAAGAGCTAACTACTCCTTTAATAATAACTTTCGAAAATATTTGGGCCCCGACGTAGATACACATGAGGTACCAAGTCCTGAAGATTTTTTTTTTAAAAAAAAGGCTATTGACACCCGCTTACTAGCTCTCTCTGCATGGTTTTCTTATTTAATGTTAAAGGAGTTAAGTGGTGAACATTTATCCGAAAAATGCAGAAGATGATCAGCGACGGTTATCGATTTTAATGATTTCTTGACCAAAATGTTTTTTTATGGGCTGACCTTCGTCCTTGTAGTATGGACTATTGTACCTCCAGACTGGACGCCCGTACCCATCGTCTTGAATACTGTGCTTCTTGTTCGGACTAGCATGCCTCTGATCTGGACTGTTGTGCCTCATGTCTGGAAAATTGTGCCTCTAGTTTGGACTATTGCACATATCATGTATCTAGTCTGGAATTTTGTATCTTTAATATTATCCCTTTTCTTTTTGTTATTTCTAAAAGATCGAGCTTTTTTGTATTGAATCAGAAGAAAATAAAGACCAATATAATGAAATCGAGGAGGATGACTTCTCCGATTCTAGGTGTAAGTAGACGTTATCATGGTTTAATACGCTATCATATTTTAATACGCGCACATAGTGGGAAGGTCTCCGTGTGGTCCAAAATATAGGATTCCTTTGATACACTACAACTTGTGGTTATTTTATCACAACTTTAAATTCCCCCTATTCGTTATATTGTCTTACTAATTAAATGGTTTCAGTTCTATCGATACATTTATTCCTGTATTCTATTCAACTCTATTCAGGCCTATGCATGTATTTATTTTTGTATTATATTCTATTTAAGATATAGGTATAAGAGGCCCATTTAATTATCTAAAATCTAAGCTTTTGCCCACTTAGTTGTTTTATTAGTTTTTCGGGAATCGTTATTTATTTTGTCTTGTTATCGGGAGGTTGCATTTCTGTATCCGGTGAATGCAGCTGCAACATCCTGATCGATTGGTTGATTGGAATTAAGGTCGGCAAAGGGTGGGATTTCAGTTGTAAAACCACCATATAGATAAAACTGGAATAACAGGAAATGCGTTTGCGGTCGTCCACCGTCGTGCAATGAAATGGCGATTAACGTCCTAGTGTTCTACCATACAATATGCTGTGAGAGACATTTGCCCGGACAGCAGCGCAACGGCCTACTCTTATATCGAATTCCAACTGACAATTAAGGGATGTTTTACGTACACTCCAATTCGTACACATGTCTCTTGCCAGGCCCTCTGTCCTGCACCAATGAAAAGGGGGAACCACGCCGGAAATCTCGATGAACTTTCTTGGACAACTCAGGGATCGACGCTGGTTTGTGAGCCAGCGTCTTACTCTCTGAGCCACCGTGGCTCCATCCACCGTAATCCAATCTCGGCAAAAGTTGGGCATTCGAGATGAATCGTGGATCAGCGTACTGTTGTGTGTTACTGTCGTGTGGCCACAGAAGACCTCAGATTGTCACGACAACATGACGCTAAACTCACGACAGTGAACGGTTCAACACCGTTTATTGTGGTCTCTCCACGGATCCCTACAGTCGACACTGGTTTGCCACTGGGCCAAATACCAGGAAGGCATGACTGGGGCTTAAAGTACATAGATGGTTTTGTCTATGTCTATTATAACAATTATAAATCGCGTGTATATTATTAATCGGTCGATGTGTTTCTGCTTCATTTCAGGCTGTCGTATCTTTCTGTTGACTTCGTGTCTCATCCCGATTTTTACAGGTGAGTTTCTTCAAACGAAAACATATTTCCTGGAATTATCAGTATGCAATTGGCGCAGTTAATCGTGGGCACCACCATAAATAACATTATCCACGATTTTGCGATAAGAAAAATTTACATACAAGGCATTCTTCATATTGGTAGATAAAAAAAAATTATTTTAGGCAGCCTCAAATGCTGTATAATGCATTAATTTAACATTTATGCACATGCCAAGCCCATAATCGACTCTATAGTTCATCGGGTGGTTTTGATTTTCAATGGATTTAAACACGATTGCCAGTTAATAATTTGATTAAAAATTGGATAAACGAGACTTTGTTTATTATCGTAACAACGGTAACAATGGCAATCGAGACTACACCATAACTCCTCTCAGAATGAAGTAATTTGACTGAAATTTTCAACATATTCCCCCATTATTATCCATTTTATAATTATCATAGCGAAAATTGTCAGATCTTTATCTAAATCTTACATAATGCAACTCTAACCTTCGCTTTTATTTTGAATTTCATATATGTATGGGGACCTCATAAACTATCTCTCTTTGAATAAATCCCCATTTAACATTAAAATTGTAGATTACTCCAACAAAGGTGGCGTTCACCCCCCCCCCCCCCCGTTCATTAATTGATCGCGTAAAGCTACAGTCGACAAAGAAATTGATAATTATTTATTTGCCTCCATTTATTTCTTCTAGGTTTCATGCTGTTGTCAATTTGTCCGACAGGGAGTAAAGGCCCTATTGTTCCGGTCGTAGTTGGTGTGATCTATCTTATCTTCTTCTATCCGCGCATTATTCGACAGTATTATAAGAGGGATACATGCTACCGAGAATATATTCTAACTGTTCTTCTCATACTTACTGTAGTTGGAATATACAGTGCTGGTGAGTTCTGAAATGCAAACTTGACTTCTGTAAATAGTCCACTAGGACCATTATATAATGAATGGTCTTCATGCAATAAAATCAATGAGAGGACACAACATTGTTATTCAGTTGATTCTAAAATGAAGTATGGAAATGAAATTCCAAAGAGATATTTTGTACTTTGCTTTGTACGTTTTTTGAAAACCTGATCGATTGGCCCACACCGATATTCCAAATTGTTAACAGTGTATCCGCCCAGTGTTATACGTCTATTAAGACCAGTTCCAAAATACATCATATGTATATATGAAAATAAGTTTTCCTCGAACATTATCTCCCTCCTTTCACCAATATTTCATGTTTTATTCGATGGCCTGTAACTCCCATTTAAGTGTGTCCGGTTATCCCTTACAAATCATTCAATTGAAATGCCAATTGGCTGTAAAAAAAAAAGTGGATATATGAAATAGTCGGCCATATAATTATTTTAAGCCCATGTGTTCGCTTATTGCCGTCACCCCTGTATGTCTCTTATGAATATTAGGGGACGGAGATAATAAATTCCAGAGTTAAATTATGAAGGGCCCAACTACATGAGTTATGATCAAATCTGTTTGAAATGTATTTGCATTATTCAGACGAAGAGTTCCTTCTCATGTCAGCAAGTTCTGTCAATTACCGTTAGAGTTATGGCCCCTTTTAACTTTGTAGACTCTTGGGTAACGAATGATTTAATCTCATTTATTTGTATTTATAGGCTTCAAGTTGTCTTTGGGAGCCCTTAATGATGATCCACGCTGTTACCTAGGGCTTGTGATTTTTTCTCTATATTTTCTGATACCAGTCGGCGTTAGCCTCGGCTTCCTGGCTATTGTTTGTTTGATGGCACAATTCTAGAAACAAGCTACCTTTTATGTACATTATCACACACAGATTTAGGTACAATTGCTCATCCATTAATTGTGATTCCTCTTTATACATTCCCCAGTGTTAATATTTCATTTATTTATTTGTGTATATAAATGTAGAGTGACATAATGTCATGGGGCGTCAAGTAATACCCCAATAGGTGACCCATTAGAACAATTATTGGCTCTATACAGTCTCAATAAATGAAGTATACCCGACATGTTCAAACCTCCTGCAGCCAAAATGATTTGGCGGGACGTGGGTTTTGCTGGGCGACCATGCCGTGTTCCATGCTCGATACTGGCGGTGGCCTTTACATGTACCCCCCACCCCCAACCAGATTGTAAGTAGGTCTACTGCCAAATTCATTGTGACAACAAATAACGTTTTGATTGAGTGCCTTCATCTCAAGGATATATTAAATTATCACCGTTGCCCGTTGTTACATCACTCCTTTTATTAGAGGTAAAATGTTAAAACTTTTTAAAACTGTAATAGGAAATTTTAATTGAATATATATATAATCTGTTTTTCTTTTTAGATATTTTATATATTCTGTTATATTTGCTACCTCTCCTTTTGTTAAGCGGAGCTATATAGTAAAATGTTTTACTTTTTAAAACTTTTATATGAAATTTTAATTGAATATATAAAATCTGTTTTTCTTTTTTAAATATTTACTGTTCTGTTATATTTGTTTTTATTTGTGTATATAAAATTATTTTGTGATTATATTTAGTTACAAGTGAATATCTGGTGGTATTAACTAGCACAGCGTCATGATGTTCAGTCAGTATGGGACTTGCTCAATAACCACAATGTCCCTTTTCCGTTAGTAAATATTTATGTACATAAAATAATGTTGTGTTTTTTAATTACATTTAATATTATTATTTGTTTTTATTTATGTATATTTTGTGTTTTTATTTATGTATATTTTGTGTTTATATTTATGTAAATTTTGTGATTATATCTGGAAATGTGGATGTATTCTGCACTGACACCGCTTGTTAATTATTTACATACTTGAAAATAATTTTATATTATGTTTTTAATTACATTTAATTTTGTCATATTTGTTTATATTTATGTATATTTTGTGATTATATTTAGAAATGTGAATGTGTTTTGAGTGTAAACTGTTTGTTGAAATAAAATGCAATGAAGGGTTTAACGTTCTACCCCGACTGGGCTAATAAAGATGAGGCGAATTTGGGCCTCGGACGACGCCGGATATCCTGCTATTGTTGAATGGACGAGCGATGACGTTACCAGGGTGATAATGTCTGAATTTCAATCTTGTCCCATATTATCAAAAGAAACTTTTAAAAATAATTGCATTGAAAATGTATTTGCTCGGTATCACTAACGCTAATTAATTTGAAGTAATGTGCGATTAGGTTTGGTTTATAGCACACACAATAAGTAATTTGAAGGTTTGAAAATACCTAACCTATTTGTTGTTTTGAAACCTGTAACCGCGTTGCGGTTGATGAAACTAAAACAACAGATAAACCCACTGTTGTACAAACATCACGTTGTGGTCGGCAAATAAATAAACCGACTCGTTTTCAATAACTTTATTTCATGTACATGTCCCTTTAACTTAGTCACTTTAATTGTAGTTATAGTGTGTACATGAGTCATCGGTCTTTTATCCAATCAGCGACCGCGCTAGCGATCAGCTGACTAAAACGGATGTCTTGGAAAAAAACTTCTAGAATGCACGTGTGTGAGAAAATTCCCTGCGCGAGGCAACTTTATTTCACCATCGGGAAATAAAATAAAACTGATTTTAATTCGGCATCATATGGTAAGATTTAGCCTAATATTATAACGGATCTATGACTCAAAAGTAACGATGTTTTTATGTTTATTATATTGTTCAAAATGTCATTCGCATTTGCCTAGTACGGCACTACACTAGTTTAAGTTTAAAGTGACCGTGCCTCGATTTATTTTATTGTCATTTTTTATGGACATAAGTTAATTATTGTCAATCAACCATAAATCATTTTAAATGTTTAATGTTATGGATAGTAGTTTATTATATATTATAGTTGTTATATCGTGCTTCATTTTGTTTTCAGATTGAAAAGCACGCAAGTGACGTACCATATAACGTAACTTTCGTCTACCTACTTCGCTCCACTTTGTATGTACGCTTGTATGCAGTACAACCATTTGTTGACTATAAATTATTGTATTGATGGTAATTAAAAGGACTCATTGAACTTGATAATATTGTTGTATTGAATTCTGTGGATTACATCACGTCAAGGGGACTTTTCATGCAGTATTTGTGGTAAATGGTGGATGTGACGGTAGCAGTTGCAATATTTGAAGCTAAATAAGACTGTTTCTGTGGAGACATTTATTAGTTAAAATAATAATTATGGAATTTTAAGATACACACACGTTTATTCAGATCTACTGTGCAAGAACCCTGCCTTATTCCTGGCAGTAGATTTAAAACCATGCTCCCGGTTTTGACATAGTGACTGTAGACATTTATTATACATTATGCCTGAAATTTACTTTTTCTACCGAATAATGCAACATTAAAGCAAGGCAGGTAAGTATTAAAAGGCCCTGAATAATTTGATTTAGGTAAAATATTAATGGATAAAGCACAAGGCTAAGGTTATGCTGGGGAAAGTTTCAACGAGGGCCGAGGCTTTTCTATCAATGGCGGAGATCAGGTGGCTAAGTGGGTAAGACGCTGGCTCGCTAGCCTGGAGGTCGGGTGTTCGATCCCTGCATTGGCCGAGAAAGTTCATCCAGATTTTCCAGCGTGGTTTCCCCTTGTCAATGATACAGGACAGAGGGCCTGACAAGGAAAGCTGTCTAGTCGTTCGGATGGGACGAAAAACCGAGGTCCCGTTTACACATTGGCGTGCACGTAAAAGATCACTTGGCAGTTGGAATTCGATATAAGAGTAGGCGGTAGTGCCGCTGTCCGGGCAAAATTTCCCTCATAGCACACTGTATGGCGTATGCCCGTCTTCATTAGCCCAATTTAGGAATTGAAATGAAAAGAAATGGGGTTTAGCGTCCCACTGTTCTGACCAGTTTAGGAGCAGATCAGTAGGACGTTAAACCCCATTTCATTTCATTTCATTTCTATCAATGGTTTCTTTCTGACGGGGAATTTATCCAACTTAGGCCTATAAACACACGAAATTGAAGTTTGATAAAAGAAAAAGAAAAAGGTTTGCAACTAGAGGCCAAGCGCTGAATATATATTAGACCCTGTGAAAGATAGCATTTTAAACTCAGTTATTTGAGACGTGGATAATGGAAATTAAACATATGTATTATTTCATTCCAATTATTGTTCATTGAGCATTTTTTATTGCAAATTTTCTTGTTTATAATATGAAACGGATACTAACGAGGAACTGCGCAGAATGTTGTCAATCATGTGCTTTGTCGATCTAAGACGACTAACAATGTGAAGCGTGTCAATGTAATGCATGCTTCTAGTGAGCATCTTAAAATAATAATAAAGAAAACAACCCTCTTCCTAACCTAGTAATGCGTACTTAAATTGACTATTTACACATAAAAATGCTAATTTTTATGAATTATTTCTTAAAGATACATTCCCGCGTACAGACTGTTATGTGATTATATATTTGGACTAAAAACATATTCAAACTAATTAATCTATCAAACTATTGATTCAAACCCCTCTTAAAATTTTGAATTCGCGAGGAGATACCCCAAGCTATAACAAAAATCTATTTTTAGAAGCCATGTTTGTCACTTAACTTGAATGAGGGAGGGCCCTTTTTCAGAATGTGTTTGTCATACTTACTGTCCATTTACTATACAATTGAGCCCTAAGTAAATTCTTAAATTATTTTCTGCCATCTTCTTTTTCCGCCGTTATTTGTAGAGTTTTACGTTTTGTACCCCTCAAGATTCCCCAAACCGCCAAACCATTTGATCAAGAAATAACCACTTCTCCCTAAGTCAAGCTGGCAGATAATAAGCCGTCGGATTGTCATTTAGTGATACCCTGACATTCTTGCCCAGTGCTTGCCCCATGGGTGTTTTTCGGGTAATCCAGTAATTTTTCTAGTAACATTGTGTGTCTATACTTTCCTTATATACCAAATCTGCCATACTTTTATTGGACATAACCACCCGATAAATAATATCGTGAAGTATGTCTAGATTACTTAAATAATATCAGAATAATCTACTTTTGTATGTAAAATATTTTATTATTCTTTACCGAAAAAAATATCATATTTTTCTCTCAAACATATCAAGAATGATTTACTTTTGAACCAAATATACTGTATTTTTTATTTTTGAAAGATAAAATGTCGTGCTGTTGGGTTAAAGATACATTCCCGGGTACAAACTGGGTGATTTGATGATATATTTGGACTAGAAACATATTCAAACTAATTAATTTATCATAATTTTGCTTCAAATCTTTCTCAAAACATTGCAATTGTCGGGGAATACGTGACTTACCTCTCTCGGTACCTAGCAACGCAAGCGAAGTCGGAGGAGAATTCATTGCATACACAAGACGATGTTGTCTTTAATCGCTGACTATTTATTACAAATATCGAAGCCTAATTACATTTTCGGATTATCCACTGCTCGTGTCTTTTCCATGATTTTTATCTCAGAAAGTGTTGTAAGTCTAATTCTTCACAAAGTTTATCAAAATGTACATCAGGCGCTCAATCTCCTAATCGTCGGGTTGTCGATTAGGGAAACCCTTACATTTTTGTCCTGTAAGCGCTCCATGAGTGCTTTTCAGGGAATCCAATATTTTACTAGTAAAATTGGATATTTCTACTTTCGATATATACCAAAATTGCCATATTTTATTGGAAATAACCACCCGATAAATACTTTTCTGGGAACGTAGCTTTAAATGAAAAAGGCGCAATTTCAGCTGTCCTCTATCATCCACCATATAACTGTAAACAGCACCATCTGTTACCATAATGAGCGTTATAATTATAACCACTTCACCGTGTAACTAAATTTGCTACAATAAATTAAAAGAACAAAATAAAATTTCTAACTGCAATATTTAAGAACTATGTCATATATATTAGCATTTTTACATTTGTTTGATTGAGGGAGGGTCCATGTTTCAGAATGTATTTGTCATTACTGCAATATTTTAACATACATTATGCAAGATCTAAATCTGTCTATTGCAGATCTTTCTTTAGGCCTGAAATGTCACCGAATTATTAATTAGACATTAATTAACCTATCCAACCCATAACTCTGGATGGCATCGCTAGTCTGCGATCTTTAGTGGATTATGAGCCGATTTACTGCATAACTTTCCTTCGCGATTTAACGATTAAATGGATAATCGAGACTATGCTGTTTATCGTACTGGCTTTAGTAATGATGATCGAGGCTACCGTAAGCGGGAATTTCAATCGCTTATTTCTCGGTTCATAGTGGATCAATATGAATGAAATTTTCAGCAAATTGCCTTTACGTTATCTAGTTTTTAACTATTATCTTATCTCCCATAATGTATCTTTAAGAAATATGTCATATATCATATATATTAACATTTGTACATTTGTAAATAGCCAATTAAACATATGTAAATAGGAAGAGTTACATGCATAGAAGTAAGCAGATTAGTATACGCATTACTAGGTTAGTAGTTAAAATTATGAGGTAAATTCCGCTCTATAAAATAGTACTTGATGAAATATTGTTTTAGCCTACTTTTAATACCGGTTGTAGGGTGATCCAGAGCCTTGGATATTTCTGCTCATTATATCTGAACGGCATGTCAGATTGTTCGATCTGTTATCAAAACTCCGGGAAAAAACAAAGTTCAGTCACGGGGTCGCCCGTGCACAGCAGGCAGCAAACATTCGCTCAAAATAAACATTCACGTGACAATATTCATTCACTTATTTATCATTGAAGCCATAAAAAAAATTCTTCTTTACGCACTGGACTTTTAAAAATAAGCAGTAAAAACTTTAGTTAAAACTCAGCAATTTTATTTTTTTATTTAGTTGAACGTAACCAATGACGTATGTATTGTAACGTTTTCGGTAGAGTTACCTGATGAAGTTTCGTCCTTTTTCTATTTTTGAAACTCACGATCGGGGCAACTTACCGACACGGCTAGACTACGAAATTTACTTTTATTTAACCCAGTGGTTAGTTGCCGCCTTAGTGAGTTTGGGAGATAGTTTGTTGCTAGCTCTAAATACGCAGAAAAAAAAATTGCGACTGGAAAATAACCGAAACAAATCTGGTATTCGTAGTCTTCATTTTCCAGACACTTGTTACGGTTTCACACTGCCTAGCTTATGTGAAACACTATTGTTTTTGTTTAGACTATTATTAGGGTTTCACACAAATGTTAATATATATGACAGATCGCATTACTTTGCATACTTATTCCTTCTATCCTAAGGAACATCCCTACTATTTGTGGTGACTGCCCAACCCTAAGGGACAGAGCCACGCCCATTTTCTTTGTGTGTGTGTGCCACAGCCCACACTGCTTAATCGATCGTCTTGAAATCTTTTTATACTTATTCCTTACACCCTAAGGCTGACCTCTATTATTTTTGGTGCATGCCCGACCCCCTAGTACAGAGCCACGCCCAATGTTTGTGTGTCTTGTGCTTCGCCCACAGGCGGCAATTCGTAACCGATCCTTTTGAAACTTTGCATACCTATTCTTTATACCCTTAGGATGACCCCTATTGTTTTTGGCGATTGCCCACCCCCCATGGACAGAGCCACACCCATTTTTTTCTTTGTGTCTCTGTATGTTGCCTACAGGCTACAATTCTTAATGGACCATCTTTGAACTTGGGATATGTATTCCTGATAGGCTAAGGACGACAACTGCATGTCCCGACCCTCAGGGGCAGAGCCACGCCCTCTTTTGTGCTTATCGTTTACAGGATGCAATTCTGAATGGGTTAACTTGGTACTTGGCATATGTATTCCTTATTTATACTGCATATTTCTCATTGACTTAAACAAAATGTATACTAACTCAACAAGAGGCAAATAATGACATGGGATTTAACGTCCTACTGTTAGCTCCTAACTGGGCTAATGAAGACGGGCATACGCCATACAGCGTGCTATGAGGGAAATTTTGCCCGGACAGCGGCACTACGGCCTACTCTTATATCGAATTCCAACTTTCAAGGGATCTTTTACGTGCACGCCAATGTGTACAGGGGACCTCGGTTTTTC